TAACTATATTTTAAGGTAAAAGATAAACTGTGTTGGCAATTTACAGTTAATTCACTCTTTTGTTTTACTAGAGATTTTTGTCAGCAAATTTGATGATTTGTAATTTTTCATGTAAACATAAGAAGCGTGGTTCATTTAAAGATTTACAAGTTCTAGTTTTTTAGCATTTTCCATTTTACTGTAGGGGTTTTATTAACTTCTTCCAAAAATTAAATATTTAGAAAGGGATGTTCTATTTCTGTATACCTTATTGAAGAAAGATAATACATGTTGGTACCACCTAGTTTTAAAGGAATTCTTGGTACTTACAATATAAAGTTTTTTTAAATGTTGCATTTTCTATAGTAGAAATAGTGCTTAGGTAAACAAGAGAGTCTGGCATCTGTTTTGCAATGGACATTCATTAGAATTTCAACAATTCCACTATTATCTGTGTTTGTTGCTTTGGAATGGCAATTATTACTCAGATTTTTGTATTGATTTAAAATTTTATTATGTTTTTAATCATTTTTTTCAAGATCATCAGTACACCTATAGCTTAGTTTTAGTGCATTTCTATTAAAAATCTTACTAAGTGGATTATTTCAGGGAAGTGTTTCTCAGTTAAATGGAGAAATTTCTGCCCTAACTTAGTACTAACCATTTGGTAAAATGAGGGTGTGTACTAAGTGATTTTTCTGTTTCCTATTGTAGTTATGTTTTATATACTTGATGTCAGGGCACTTATAGCCACTATTTTTTAAGGCAGTGTTATAAAATTTACTATGCTTGTAAAAGACATCTTCACTCGAATCGAAGAGTTATTGCTAATCATATATTCTATGGAGGAAAGCATGTGTTTAATTATGGATGAAGAGTGGTTAGAATTTGGGTGGATATATATTGGACTGTTTTCATGTAGGCTTGGAATACATTATTAACTATGTCTAATGTTACATCAAGGAAATCTACATTTTTTAAATTAGCATTGATTTTAACTTTAAGGCTGAGACTTTTAAAATCTCTATGTATTAATTTCTTGATTTTGTCTGCTTTAATTTTTGTGGAATTTTTCACCACCATAAGGTCATCGTCTCTATATAACCTTATATCATCAATGTTGATATCTTGCTAGGCACTAAGATTATATAAGATAAATAAACCAACAAGGTCGGAAGACTCAGCAGAGTCTAATGATCTCATGTAAATATTGAATCTACTTAATCTACTGTTCTTTGTTTTGGATAAGAACAGATCTTCTACAGTTCATAATAATGTCAAGCTCCTCGTTGAAAAGATATCCCTGGCAAATTCCAAAGCCAAAGTAAACAGATCCCTGGAAATAGATGGGTAATAAGCCACAATATTAAACTAAATAAATTCCTTTTATTGTTTATATCATTAAAGTAATTTCTGGCATCTGTGGATTAATCCAAGTTTAAAGTAACAAAAACACTTTGCAAATTTAAAAATGTTTTAAATTCAGTTTAAAATATCTCAAAAACTTTGTGAGTTGAGGAAACCAATTTTATTTCTTAAAAATTCCAAGGAATCAGATTTAAAGTGAGAGCTTTCGTAATGTGAGGTTTTGAAATTTTGCAGAGTTTGTGATTTGAAGAACTCAGTTTTCAGCCTGATTTGGGATTTTGGCCCAAATTAGTGTTTTGGCCCAAGTCCAAGCCACTTTCTAATCAGCTGGTTGACTCTATCGAGGATGATTTTGCTAATTCTACCAATTTCTGTACTGGTAGGGTTGATAATCCTGTTGAGAAGATTAGCTTCATAATCAGATTTATGGTCCTTGATCGCTACATAGTATTCTTTAGTACAGAGTTTGCTAACTCTGTTGCTGATTTTTAGTTTGTCAGTTATTTTACTTCTTGCATTAATTTTGTCAACTAAATTAACGATATTATTGTCTACTTTCCTATAATTTTTAGTTAAGTTTTTTCTAATTAAAATATTATAATCTTTAGGAGTAATTTTGTAGAGGTTGGCTGTTTTGTCAGATTTGACCAAAACCTGGTCAGACAAATGAATGTCCTTTACAACTAAATCCAGATGTGTCTGAAAATGATTTTTATATTCATGAAAAGACATACTATTAATAATTTCTAATAAGTTATTTTCAAAACCATTTAACTGTTTGATGAATGGTGCAGTTTTTAAGCTTTTGAAACTATAAACATCCAATTCTTACAAAAAATTGTTATCATGAAGGAAGAAACAAGCCTTCCATCTCATCCATTTGAGTAAATCTTCAGTTTTCTGAACTAGTTTTACAAAGTAATTCCATTTGTTTGTGTTGGGAATGTTGTTTAGAGAGATTTCAAAGTAAGTTTTTTCCATTTTAATGAAAAGTAAATGTAGAAAGTGGTCTACCGTAATGGGAGCAAAATATCCAAACAAGAGAAAAAACAGATGGATTAAAAATCCACTGTTACTAACATTTACTTTTAAAAAAGTGCTCAATACAAAGTAGAGCAATATATTATTATTATTTTTCTTATAAAAGATTATAATAAAAATCGCTACACAAAAGCTTTCATGTTTCAATTTTATGATTGTACTTCTTCAGGCGATGGTAAGTAACTGGTGAGTAAATAATTTTTTAAGGAAATTTAAAAACAAAGTGTTACTTCTTTTCCAAAAGTTAAAGAGTCAGGGGACATAAGGTCAGAATTAAAAATAGACTTGTGGGTATGTATTGATTAACCAATTAAATGTCAGATCTATGCTAAATAGAAAATACATACATATATATATACATATATATATATAGCTGCCTAATTACACTATGGTGTGATGGGTAATTGTTTCCATTTTATATTTTTAATTTCACACATGTGCATTGTTTGTCTTTGATTTTGTCAACTGCACAATATAGTAGGATCATTTGTGCATTGTCTGTGAGTAAAAGAGCACCATGGCACAATTTACTCCTCCAGCTTGGTTGTTCTGATAAGAAAAGAACTCCAAAATTTGTTGGTGAGGGTCTCAGACTCAAAATGAAGGCCTACATCAAATGCCTTGAAGAGGTAGTGTTGCCCTGGGTTAAAAGGGTTGCTGTTGGAAGACCCTATTTCTGGCAACAGGACCCTGCATCATACCATACAAGCAGGAGAACTCAGTCATGGCTATCAGACAATTTCTGCAAACACATCACCCCTTAGATCTGGTCACCTAACTCCACAGACTGCAACCCCCTTGATTATTATGTGTGAGGGACAGTTTTATACTAGTATGTTCCTAATGGTATCAGGTAAATCTGAGTGTGTGTTTAAACTTACTAGTAGAAAACACAAATATATTAACTGCATCCACTTGCAAAAAAAGACTAAAAATAATGGAAGCTTTAATAATAAAAAAGAAAAAGCCAACTCTTAACAATATTAAGCCACAATGTGCTAACTGCATTCGGAAATTAAAAACATCCCTGCAACACACTAATACATACACAGAACGCACACACTCAACTAAGCTGAAAATCGAATCATCCTTGATAATGGCTAAAGGTATAGCCAAAAGCGCTTGTAAATATAAAACATTTGGACAGTTCTTACACACCCTTTGTCCAGAAAAGAAAGCTCTTGTTCTAACACAAGAAAAATTAAATAAAAAGCTTAACTGTAGTACCTTGTCTGTCGTTTTTAATGAAACATGCATAAAGGAAGGATTGGTTGCTGCCTAAATATATATATATATATATATATATATATATATATATATATATATATATTTATGTTTGCATGTGTATGTGTGTGTGTGTGTGTGTGTGTGTGTGTGCTCTCTCAGTTCAGTTCATGATGTCTTACTGATATTATTTAAGTTGCTATTTCACCAATGGTGCTACACTTGGTAGGTACAAAGTATTCTGTTGTTTGGTTGTTCAATTCTGAATATTGATAATCTTGTTACGTAGTCCCATGACAGAAAGCTGATGGCTATAGCCTAAAAATCTCCTTCTAGCAAAATAAAATAACTACTAGGGAGGGGGTTAGAGCACACTGGTGTTGGTTGGAAATAGGCAAGACTGTTGGTTTGTGTAAGGACAATTTCTTCGGCAGAATTTAATCTACAGCAAATTTTCTGGAGCACCTGTCTCGTGTCCTGTACCAGCTGATTACCATCATCTGCATAATGACCACTCTACTTAAACTTGAAGCCTCCAACTTACTCCTGCTTCCGTCCACACCCATGGCCTGAATTTGATACAGTGTTGGGCAAGGATATGACTCAAAAACTACAGTCTTTGGAGTAGATTCTTTCTTTGTCACTTTTATGACTTTTCACTACCACCCTCTCTCTTGCTCAATGTGTTTTCTTTCACTTTCTTTTCCTTTCTTCTTTTTTTTCTTTCTCTCACTCTTGCTCTTTCTCTTTTTCTTCTCTCTCCACCTTTATATTGTTCTTCTCTTTCTTACTGCCATTTTGTTGTTTTCCTTTCTATCTCTGTCTTTTTCATTTGTTTTCTCTCTCTTTTTGCCTATTTTTGTTATGCTCTCTCTTCTTCTCTTTTTTCTTTGTTTTTTTTTATTTTCTTCTTTTTCTCTCTCTGCCTTTTTGTTTAATTACACCCTCACTTTCTCTAGCTTTTTCTTTTCTATCTCTTTTTCTGCCATTTTGTTTTCCTCTATCTTTCTCTTATGGTGTTTTCTTTTTCCTCTCTCTCTCTCTCTCTCTCTCTCTGTTTTTTCATTTTTACTCTCAAACTCAAATGTTTTCATTTCTCTTTCCGTCTTTTTTGTTTCTCTTTCTCTTTCTCTCTTTCCCTGTTTTCATTTCTCTTACTTTCTGTCTCTGTTTCTCATTCTCTCTCCATTTTCTTTATTCTTTCACTATTTGTTCTCACCTTTCTTTTCCTCCCTCCCATTTTCTTTTTTTTCATCTTTTCTCTCCCACCTTTTCATTTTATCCCTCCCGTTTACATTTTCTACTTCTTTTTTCTCTCCACATCTTTTACGTTTCTTTTTTTCTCTCATTTTTTTTTATTTTCTGCTTCTCAATCAAATTTTCTATCAATGAAAAATCAATTTTTTTTTTTATATTTCTTTCCTGCAGTTGTTCAACTAGGTTGGAGATATGACATCTCCAACCTAGTCCAATGAAAACAAGACTACTATGGGTAATTTGTCGCCATTTTATAGTTTTCATTTTGCATTGTTTGTTTTTGATTTTGTTGACTGCACAGCATAGTAGGGTCAGTTGGGTACCATCTGTGAGTAAAAAAACACCATGAGGCAATTCACTCCACTAGAAATTTGTAAAAGGTATGCTGTTCTGCTTGCCATTCACACTGGAGGCTCCAATATGAACATTTCAGAGTGTTTGGGTGTCAATCTGAATATGTATATGTGTGATTAAGTGTTTTTGATGATGGGTGTCTATAAAAGAGGATATTTGGCCATGCCAGTTGGTCACATTATTATGCAGATTTGGAATTTGCCCATTCAGACATGTAGATTTGAAACTGAAGTGAAGGAAAGGATAGAATTTAGTCATTCTAGCAGTCAACAGTTGACCAGAGCTGGCAGAACTGGGCAGTGGCAGCTTGGTGTCAATAATAGTAGAAATGTTGGAGTCAAATTTCACTTGAGTCTTACTGGCTCTCTTGTGTCTTGACTGATTAGCTGAACAAGGAAAATTAATCCTCTTAAGGTCTTTCTTAATGTCTTAATTCTTCCTCTAACCAAAATTAATAATAAATAACTCTGAAGCCAAGAACAAAAGATATTATAGTTATATTTTGGTGTTCCAGGCCTCCATATTATCACCTATTAATAAGACAACAAAAGGGAAGTGTGAAATTAAAACAGTGTATTTGATGGCATGTAAGACTTTCTTCACAATTTAACAATAAATATTAAACTATATTATTTCTGTAGTATTTTAAAACTTGGTTGTCTGCCCTTGGCTTCACTATAATGTACATATCAAAGGGTAGGAAATATATCATATAACAGAGTGGTTACAGGCATACAAATTAAGTCACCTGGGCAGTTGGAGCAAGCTTCTCAAAATGACTGCATATAATTTCCAGATTTCTGTTTCCTCTTGCTTTTATGCCAAAACCACATTACAAACATAATTTATTTCAAAGGTAGTTATTAACAGCCAAAGGTAGTTATTAACAGCCAGCCTCTCCAGGGGACACTTCTCAGATCAACTCTCATTTTGATTTACATAAATGATCTGCCTAAGAATATACTCAGATCATTTGTAAACATCTATGTTGATGATATGACTATAAACTTTTGATGATCAGAGATTGGCAGCTGATTTACCATCCAATCTAGCACTAACTTCCCAGAGGGGAAAAACTGGCTGATTACATTCAATGCCTCGAAAACCAAGCTAGTTACATTCCATTCCATCATCACTGATCAGACCTCAAACTATCAACAGTCATGAAGAATGGATATCCCTTCAGAGAGACACTATGCCTTGAGAGATTATTAGGCCTTAAACTCACACCTGATCTCAAGTGAAACTCATACATATGATCTATCACTAAAGATGCAGATAAAATATTTGGCTCCCTGTACTGCTCTAGTAAGTACCTGACTCCTTCTGCTATCAACTATCTTTACAAGAGCCAGATCAGGCTGGATATGGGGTACTGTTGTCATATTTGGGCAGGAGCTGCCCAGTGTTCACTTTCCAGTTTCGATTGAGCCCAAAAGTGTCTCTGCTATCATCTATCTTTACAAGAGCCAGATCAGGCTGGAAATGGGGTACTGTTGTCATATTTGGGTAGGAGCTGCCCAGTCCTCACTTCCCAGTCTTGATAGAATTCAAAAGTGTTTTTGAGTCCTTGTGGATGACAAATTATTTTCCACCTTCCAACCTTTCTCTCATAGGCAGAATGTAGCAAGCCTCTCGCTACTCTATTGCTACCTCCATGGAAAGTGCTCAGACAAACTGCATTACTTGATTCTGCCAGTTCTAACTTTCACTAGGACCAACCATGCCACATATTGTAGCAAGCCACCCACATTCCCTACATATTCCATTGGTGAAAAGTAAGTTCTAGTTCAACCTTGGAAACAGTACTTTGTGGGATTGACTCCCATGAGGACGTTTCCATGATTATTACTATCTTAAACTGTTCAAGTCTAGAGTTAACTATTATCTTCTCCTCCTATCCATATAAACTACCTCTCAATGGAAACCTCTACCTTAAGTGGCCCACAGGCCTTGTACAGGGTGAACCTTAGTGTAAAAAAAAAACCTCACCTTTCAAGTAATACCTTAACTCACTTCTCTTTTTCATAACTGCTAATATGTATCTGTTTTATTACATAAATAAACTGTTGTATTAATGTTCTGTAAATATGCAGATAAAGTAATTTCTCTGAAACAAATTTACTTAGCATTACCTGTTTTAACTTACACAGTGTTACTGTACTGTGGGTTTTCTAATACTTATATTGGGATGGTTAAGTAAATTTCCTCTCACCATCTATTAGAATATTTTAGTCTTTCACAGTTGAGTCAAAGAACATCAATGATAATGATAGACATTTCCATCATTCATAGTTAGTGGGTTAAAAATTCCTTTTTGGATATTACACTGAATGTTGCTGGAAGAATTTGGCCAAGTTGAAAACAAGTTTGTTTTGGACATTTATTACAAATTTATGAAATTCTAATATTTGGGTAAAAAAGTGTGTCAATATAGTATTGTTGTGTGAAAATTGAATTTTATTAAATCTATATGTTTTTAAATTCATTTCATTGCAATATTTCATTGATTTCTTTTCATTTTTAATTCTTCTTTTGTTCTTTGTTTATTTTTCCTTCATTCCTACCTCCATCTTTTAAAAATCTACCTAAGCCTTATTTTCTTTCAGTATTTCTCTACTTTTTATCAATTTTTCTTTCAATCTAGCTTTTTAATTTTTCTTTTTGTTTATTTTTCATAGATTTTTTCTATTCTTTTTTGTTCTTTCACAAAGGAAGGACGCATCCCCTGCCCCTGCCTACCAATACTTTCCTCCCTTCTCTTCCCCCCTTTTTTTTTTCTTCTTATCGCCACAATAATCAAGACGTGCACAAATCAATGATCTTCCATTTGTTGGTGACCAGAGGGGCAGGCTTCTTCAAGTGGACTGTCCTTCAGGACATAATACTGATATTGCGTCTGCAGATGGTAAGCACCAAAAGAATAGAAACTGGCAGAACAATTCTGAGACAAAGGTTGATGTTATTTGATATCAAGTTTTGTATTTTTCCTTATTTCTTTGCTTTTTTTCTCTTTGTCAAAATCTTTGATTGTTCCATATTGTTTTTTGTATTTCTTTCTTTTATCATTTCTTTTTCTCTCTCCTCCCTTCTCTCTTTCTCTCTCTCTCTCTCTCTCTCATGCTTTATTTGCTTTTTTTTTCTTTATAGCCTTTCCATTCAACTTTCTTGCTAGTTTGTCTTTCACTTGATATTTATAAGTTTAGTTTTTTCTTTTACTCCCTCCTCTCTCCTGTATTCCTTCTTACTGCCTTTCTTTCTTTCTTTTTTTCTTTCTTTCTTTCTTTTATGCGACACTTGCTTATTTTTTCTTGTCTGACATTTTCCATTCAACTTTCATGCTTTCTCTCTCTTTCTTTTATCCTTTCGTACTGCATTACTTTCATTCATTCTTTCTTTCTTTCTTTCTTTCTTTCTTTCTTTCTTTCTTTCTTCATATTATTACATGCCATGTTACATAGAGAGCTTGGACATGTGTTACCTGTCCAATGA